TAAGAAGACAGAAATCCATCGTGGAAGTCGGGGGGCTAGGGGGTGGGGGGAGTTGACACCATGAGTTTACCGCACCGGGTGACACAAACCCTAGCTACGCCACTGCCTGGGCGAACCAGCCCCTACACCACACTCTCCCACAACCACCTGTTAAGTGATGCGAAGAAAGTTGACAGTTGACATATGACAGCTAACCTAAGGTCGAACGCAGTACTTTTTTTTTCCTTATAAAAGGGGTGTCTTAAAAAATTTTTTTTTTACTCAAACGTGTACTCAGCGGAAACAGCACGACGCACGCGAATGGACTAATGACAATAAGGAGTGATGACGTACGTGTGGCAATCGTTAAACCAGTGGGATTGAATGTTGGAAGACATGTGTGATGTTAGGCTTATTATTATTATTATTAATAATAATAATAATAATAATAATAATAATAATAATAATAATAATAATAACCACTGCTACCTATGGTAAGACAATTTTTTTTTTTAGCGAAATGCAGGATCATCTTGAATCTTGGTTTCCTTTAAGTAGTTGAACTATTCGTTTTACTGTTGTTGTTTGTTAATTTTGTTTTTTAAAAAAAATGTTAAACGGACTGCCACAAGTGGCACAGAAAGTAACTTCCGTCAACATTGTAATGTTCGTATTTAAAAGCTAAAAGTGGACACTTCCGTCAATGAGTGACACGAAGTCATGAGACAAGAAATGCGTCCTCACTCACGTGTCGTTTATGCAGTTGGGGGGGAGGGGGGTAAGCTAGAGGTAGTGACACCATCCGTGAAACACCACCCCCCTCCTCTATTTTTGGAGCGGACCTTGACTTTTTCGCCCCTTATGAACGAAAACCAATAAACATGAAGATCCCACATCATATGGCTGTCTATGTGTCATAGACGTCATGGACCACATCATATGGCTGTCTATGTGTCATAGATGCCGTGGACCACATCATATGGCTGTCTATGTGTCATAGATGTCATGGACCACATCATATGACTGTCTATGTGTCATAGATGCCGTGGAACACATCATATGGCTGTCTATGTGTCATAGAAGCTGTGGACCACATCAAATGGCTGTCTATGTGTCATAGATGCCGTGGACCACATCATATGGCTGTCTATGTGTCACAGATGCCGTGGACCACATCATATGGCTGTCTATGTGTCACAGATGCCGTGGACCACATCATATGGCTGTCTATGTGTCATAGATGCCGTGGACCACATCATATGGCTGTCTATGTGTCGTAGATGCCGTGGACCACATCATATGGCTGTCTATGTGTCATAGATGCCGTGGACAACATCATATGGCTGTCTATATATCATAGATGTTGTGGACCTGGATGTGTCGCCATCAAAGGTTAATGCTTCGAGGGAGGGGGGATACCCCTTCACCATTCCTTCGAGGTAAGGAGGACACCCCGTTACCCACGGGGACACCCCTTCACCCACCCTTCTAAGGAGGGGGGGGGCGCCCTTTCACCCACTCTTCTAGGGAGGGGGGACGCCCTTTCACCCACTCTTCTAGGGATGGGTTGGCGCCTCTTCACCCACCCTTCGAGGGATGAGGGACAGCCCTTCACCCGGGAACATCCCTCCACCCACCCTTCGACCCATCCTTCGAGTGAGGGGGACGCCCCTGCACCCACCCTTCTTCCTACGCCGATGCATGTATTCTAGATTAGGCTTTGAAAGTTGTATGGTTGGGCATAGCTTCAGACAAGACGTGAATAGGTGTTTATTAAGAAAATAATCATAATATCGACTTGATCAAATAGAATTGTTGCTAGACGATGCTTGTAATAAGCACATCATAATATATTTAAACACACAAAACTCTTATGAAATTAAATAGCAAATCAGAAAAAAAATGGCCTGAAAATCGTGTGGTTTAGTTCGTCACTAGCCGTAAGGATACTTTAAAACAGGGGGTCTCAAACTCGCGGCCCGCACGACGAAATTTTGCGGCCCGCTACCTAATAGCAAATGTTAGCGTTAATGCGGCCTGCGCGTTTCCCCCATTCTCATATCTCATAATGTGAGACTCGGTGACGGTTTCAGTCGAATTTCATAGAATAGTCTAATTATGAGTTTTATTATGTTTGTAGTGTTTGGGACGTTGATTATGATAGTAGAAATAATTTTAAAAACGGACTAAAAGTTTTTATGTTATAGCATTTTATGAGACGTTGCTAAAGGGCGGTTTTTATGAAAGATTAAATAGTCAGTTAGTGGGTAATGCACAACCCTAATTTTTAAAAAAAATTCTAGCAATCTGACACAGTTTCAAATAATTCCTATTAAAATTGCCGCTAGTGTTTACGAGGGAGGGAATTTCCGAGCCAGTTAGCAGGCTTTCACTTTCAAAATAGGGTTAGTTGAAAAGGCATTTTCTACGATAAAGAAAAAAAATCGAAATTCATTCTCCCTTCAACAGCATCTTCCTTCGCATCAATAATACATAAATATTACCTGGACCTGCCTTCTGTTTGAACACGTTTCAGCCTTAAGAACTTTTATGGTGTAGAATGGAGTGGTTGTTCCTGTACTTAGTGATCCCAAATGGCTCATGGGCTTGGCTGTTTTGTTGACATTACCAAAAAGCTGAATGTACTCAACAAGAAGTTTCAAGATCGGGGTAGCTTGTCAGTGTTGCCTATGACAATGTCAGGGTATTCTGCACAAAACTTGTATTATAGTTCTCAGAGAACCTCTGCCCTTTACCAATATGTAAAGTATTCATGGACTCGTAGTAAGTATACTGATGCCATTGCAAAGCTACAGGAAGAATTTGATCACATGTTTGTAGACTTCAAAACACACAGAGCCACTCTTCATATTTTTGCTGACCATTTCGCCTTAAATGTGGAAGATACCACAACCCCCACCCCCAACACCCTCATTTTTTATTTGCGCTTCAAATGGGATGACTGAACTTCAGTGCAAGTTCGTGGAGGTGAATAGAAAAACAGACAAGCATGGAAAATATTTGTGAGAGGATTGCCCTCCACCTTCCTGAGATTTCCAGATTCATGTGCCTTTTTGGGAGTACCTGTGTGTGAAAAGCTCTTTTCCACTATGAAATTTAACAAGTCAAAGTTCAGGGCCAAACTTATTGATGGGCATCTTTAAGATAACCTGTGGGTCTCAGTTGTTTCCTCACTCAAGCCAAATGTTACTCAGCTCTGAAAGAAGTAGAGCTGCCACATCTGTGGCAACAAGGAGTTGGAGGAATACAGTGAAGCCTGGTTTTTGAGAACCATTAATGTTTGTATGTGTTATTAATAAAAGTTGAGCCCATTGTATAAAGGATGTACTTCACTAAATTTGTAATAGCTTTTTTTTCTTGAATACTTGATGCGGCCCAGTCTCACTCAGACTTTACCTCCTGCGGCCCAGTCTCACTCAGACTTTACCTCCTGCGGCCCAGTCTCACTCAGACTTTACCTCCTGCGGCCCCCGGATCATTTAAGTTTGCGATCCCTGGTTTTAAAAAAATATATAATGTGTTGAATAGAAGATGTGTGCACAAAAGCCGAGTTAACACCAAGAAGCTAAATTTAGCATCGTGCTATCTATAATTATTTTGAAATAAAGCGAACGATGTCCATAGCTATCTGAATTTTTTTGTTTAAAATAGACCTATCACCCACCCGCATCCCACTAACCACAATTAACTTAAGTTTTGTTTCTTCTTTTTTTTTTAAAGGGGCGTATTTCGATGTCGCAGTTAATTAGCTATCAAGTTATCTGGAAGCCATTGTTAGAAACGTTCTGATGTACGTCGGGAAACAATGGTCAAGATCGAACTTGTCTGACTTATCAGATAACGCTATCGCGGGATGCAGCGTACGGAGTAGTGCGTGAGAGGTTCACAGAAGGTTTGCTATGGTGCACTCAAAGAGCGTTCATCATGCATCGGTGTGTGAAGAAGGTTTTCGTCATGTCAAGTAGATAGGATAGGGTAGAGCTGAGCCGTCGAAGCGGGAATAGTTGGAGGAGGAGTAGTTAGAGTGTCAGTAGCTAGAGTGCTGGGTGGCCGAGCGGTCTAAACTGGCTCAAACCAAATAGCTGGTGGTCTGGAGTTCAAACCCCACCAAAGCCAACATCTCAAGCACTCCGGGTGGATGGGACTCTGCTAGCCTTGGACGGCAGCCCATCTAAGAGAAGGCAAACTCTGAATTTAAACCAGGATGATCGTGGGCCCCTAAAATATAAGAATAAGAAGAAGAGAGAGAGTAGTTAGAGTGGGAGTAGTTAGATTTACAGTGGGAACTCAGAGTGAGGGCAGTTAGAGTGGAGAATTAGTGTGAGTAGTTACAGTTGAATTTTGATTGGTATAGTTACAATGAAGTAGTTGTGGTGGAGTAGAGTAGAGTAACAGTAGTTAGAGTGGGAGTAGCTAGAGTGTAGAGTGGATTTTTTAGACTGGTCTAGCTAGTTACAGTGGAGTTAGTAATGGTGGAGTACAGTAGAGTAGCTGGGGTGGAGTAGTTAGAGTGGACTAGTTCGCGTGAAGACACGTGCACTGTGAGTTGAATTGGTCTGGTCGTCGTTTTCCCGAAAATTCATTCACCAAATATATATGTATACGGATGTTCATGGACTTGGACCTGTGTGATATGAGGACTTGTCCTTCGATTGACAGGAAACCTAATCATTTCCACAACACAAACCCCCACAAGCACACACATTCCTTTCACAGTGGTTTGTTTGTGCCCATGAGGAAATGTGAAGATAACGACCAAAAAGTTTTTTTTTTTTTTTTTTTTTTAAACTGCTTCAAACAGGATGTAAATTAGCAAGGGTGTTCCTGTAGTGGATGGCTCCTGGTGATATGACAGACCTTAGACTTTGACCATTTGAGATCCTTTGGTTTCTCCCTGTAATCACATTTTGAAGTAAGCTTAGTCACGGATGTGGGGTGGGGTTTGGGTAGAGGGGAGGGGGAATGTGATATAAAACTAAGTGTTGATTGTGTGTGCAGCCACTCAAGGAGAGACCATTGACGACTTCCATAGCGTCTTATTGTTGTTTGTTTGACTTCGTTGTTAGCATTCTAAATTTGTTAACGTTTTCTTTTGGAATATCTCAACATGGCCGTAAGTTAGCCTACATTTAGTGTTGCATTATTATTTAAGTTGAATGGGTTTTCATGTTATTTCACAAGCTTGTTAAAAAAAAAAAAAAAGGAAAGAGACAATGCTATCTGACTGATGTTGCTGACTCAACCAAATTTAACGATCACGTGACTATCTTCTTTTAGACACGCGTCAAAATAAAACTTAAGTTATAAGACTCCAACACTCTGTCACGTTCAGGGTCATACGTTCCTTTGGGCATGACCAGGGCCTCTGAGGCTCAGGGGATAATGGTGACAATAATATTATCGTCGATCAATTTACCGTCGACGAAATTTCTTTCGATCAAATTTCCGGTAGCCATGGACGATAATGTTAAATTTAACCAAAATTAGAAAAGAACTTTTGTTCCAAAAATTAAACAAAAACTAAACTGATTAACAGTCTATCGATAAAGCAACGTGTCAAAGTTAAGATCTTTATCGACCAAGGGTGAGAAATAATGCATCAACGGGGTCCTCGTGGCGATTGGTGATCTTGGTGTAGCCCAGAACATTTATTAAATGAATCGGGTCAAGTCACTCAGCAGTGGAGTAGCGAGGGTGTTTGGCGCCCGGGACAAGATTCGCGCCCGGGGACAAGAACCATTTTAAAGCGTCCCCTTTTCTTTTTTTCAACTCTAAAACCCATTATTTTACCAACAATATAATATCAAATCACATTTTGGCGCCCCTAACTAGCTTGCGCCCGGGGACATCTGTCCCCCCTCCCCCCATCGCAACGCCTCTGTCACTCAGTAAATGCTAAGTTCAAAAAGTTCAGAAATCTTGGCTGCTTCTATTTTTTTTCTTGTAGCAAAGTTGGGAGACGGTCTTAAACTACATTTCACCGAGTTCAATGCATTTTGTTCATTTTAATTCATAAATCTTGCTAACGTATTGGACGACTCTTTTTTTTTAAAAATTGTTGTGTTTGTAGATGGGAGGCATTCAGGCGAAACGTTTTCATTCAATGTCCCCCGTGTTGTTATTCAAGCCGTCTCGCAGATTCTGTTCTTAAATATTTCATGACAATTCAACACGGAGTGTCTTAACTTCTTAACCAACTCACGCTGTGCAGGATAGTGAATCACTATGTACTTCTTCAGCATACACACAAAAGATCAATACAATCCTCTCACTTTTATCTTTAGCTTAATCCTGCCACTCCCCGCCCCCTCCCCCACAGCCCACCACACAAACTGTCTTCTTATCTGAAAATTGAATTATCAATGAAACTGGAAACTTAATGTAAAATACAAAATCGTTCAGACTATCTTTAAAAGGCGTATCCGGAAATGGTCGCTAAATAATGGGCAATTTTAAACACGGCTTGTCACCACTTCCAGCACACGCGCACTTGGAGTGTAGCGTAAACTCGAGGTTAATTGGATTAGGTTTCATCTCATTCATTTTACATTGAGATTCGTTAACTTGTTAATTTTCTGCCAACGTTGTATGTGATGTGATTGGGTTTGACACTAAGCACTAACGGACACTTAGTGTACCACCAAATTTGAGCAATACTGGTCTAGAATAGCGTTTTTTTTACTTATATTTGATGAACGAGTCTAACGCCATGTTTTATCTCTACATCTCTACCATTCAGTACTCAGTTCCACACACGGCGAACATTCCCTTCACGCTGGCCGATGGCAAGGAGATCATCATAGACGGAGTCGTGCCACACTACGGCAACAGGTAGACGTGACCACTGTAACTGTCACATTAAGCTAATTACGTGACCACTGTAACTGTCACGTTAAGCTAATTACGTGACCACCGTAACTGTCACATTAAGCTAAATACGTGACCACTGTAACTGTCACATTAGGCTAAATACGTGACCACTGTAACTGTCACATTAAGATAAGTACGTGACCACTGTAACTGTCACATTAGGCTAAATACGTGACCACTGTAACTGTCACATTAAGATAAGTACGTGACCACTGTAACTGTCACATTAAGCTAAATACGTGACCACCGTAACTGTCACATTAAGCTAATTACGTGACCACCGTAACTGTCACATTAAGCTAAATACGTGATCAGTGTACTGAATTTACCAATATCCCCCTTTAATGAACACATTTTTTTTCAATATTACGCCGACTTGCTAACAATTTCAATTATAAATTGCAATCGCGACGACTATTTGATCTGAAAGGGCATACGCCGATGTTATCTTTGTAACATATGTCGGTGGAGCAAGTTGTCTTCGAGGTTAAGATGTGACTGTGGTACGATAGGATTTCTTGAAATAGTCCGTGATAGTGTGATCTATTCTCTGATTGTGTGCTAAAGTCAGTGATTGTGTGATCTGTTTTGTGAATGTGTGATGCAGTTCGTGAATATATGATCTATTTTGTGATTTTTTGATAAAGTCAGTGATTGTGGGATAAAGTCAGTGATTGTGTGATCTGTTTTGTGACAGTGTGATAAAGTCAGTGATTGAAGAATGAGTTTCGAGATTGTTTTATGCAAATTTTGTGATTGAATCATATTGTTTTTTATTGTATCATTACGTGCATAAGATGCACTTTTAATGCCATTTTGCGATCATAATTTACATAGCTTCATGTACTTATATTTTAAAAGGCTTTATTTTCATGCTTTTGAGCTAAACTTATAAGATAACAATTCACTGTGTGGGCCTGAATGCGATCTTTCAATGACGCCTGACTGACACGTGACAACCCTCTTTCAACAGGTTCAGCATCAACTTATGCTCGGGCCCCAACTACGACAGCGGCGACACGGCCCTGCACTTCAACCCCAGACTGGACCAGAATGAAGTCGTCAGGACCCACAACAGGGGCGGGTGGGGTCACGAGGAGAAACACGGCGGGATCCCATTCTACAAGGGATCCCCTTTTGAAGTGAAGATAGTGGTCAGACATCACGGTTATCATGTAGGTGATCAGATGTGGGAAGGATGGGACCTTGTGCGGGGTGAGAGGTGGGGGGAGGGGGGTCAGTCTCAAAATGTCAGTGAAATTGCACCTTTTGTTTTAAACCTAGTATTTTTTTTTTTACCCAGAATAGTGTTTGAGGTTACAGCGATAAAGATACATTAATGTGCCAAGTTAGCTTTAAGCAAAAAAGACTTAAAACTCTGTCAAAAAAATGATTATAATAACAATGACCCCACAAAAGGGGCGGGTGGGGTCACGAGGAGAAACACGGCGGGATCCCATTCTACAAGGGATCCCCTTTTGAAGTGAAGATAGTGGTCAGACATCACGGTTATCATGTAGGTGATCAGATGTGGGAAGGATGGGAGGGGGTGGGGGGGGGGGGGGGGTCGGGGTGAGTATGTCGGTGAAATTGCCCCTTTTGTTTTAATCCTAGTATTTTTTTTTTTTTACCCAGAATAGTGTTTGAGGTTACAGCGATAAAGATACATTAATGTGCCAAGTTAGCTTTAAGCTAAAAAGGACTTAAAACTCTGTCCAAAAAAATGATTATAATAACAATGACCAGAACATCAGCTATTTTTGATCAATGCGCTTAATATTAAAATTTCTAAAATAATTAATTAATTAATTTATTTATTTAAAACAAAAAATTCAAACAGTCTCTAGTTAAAATGTTTTAACATACTAGAACTATGTCATTGCGTTTCCCCCATGCTAGAATTATGTCAATGCGTTTCCCCCCATTATATAACTATTTCAATGTGTCTTTCCCAAACTAGAACATGTCCATGTGTTTTCCTTTCAGATTTTCGTTAACAACTCCCTGTTCTGTGAGTTCAACCACAGGATCCCTAAGGAATCAGTCCGTTACCTGTACATACATGGTGACGTCACCATCAGCCGGGTTGCCTTTGTGGACGTGGTGAGTGGTTGGTGACATGGCCGTGTTTCAAAACCCTTCAGACGTTATTTTGTAAACCCTTAAAAAGAAAAAAATAATAATAACTTCATGTATTTATAGCAGAAGAGTCAATTTTGTTGTTACTCCAGCGGAGCTTAAAGTAGGCTCACAGCATATTTGTTATGGGCCCTTTAATCGATCGAAAGGTAGTGGATAATTATTCATTGCAGTGTGAAGGGACGGGGTTGAATTGGGCACCATCTTTATATGTCTATAGTTATTAATTTTCAGGGGCGACATTTTGGTCAAAGTGTGTATATATATATATATATATTCGTTGAAAGGGGCGGGAAAATCCTGGACCCGCCCCGGGCATCCATGACCCTAGCCGCGCCACTGCGGCGGAGGGTAGTTAAAATTAATTAGTTGTTTTTATTTGCTATTAAATTAGAAATGATAATAATGGGACATAACCTATGCATTTATTTAAAGGGAAAAAACTTTACATGCTTACATCCATTTCTTTAAGTATATTTAATGAAAAGATATGTAATTAAAATAAAAATCATGGAAAAATGATTATGCCCTTAAATTTCTATTGTTAGAAATGCCATTAAAAATTATTGAGAAATAGGCAGAATGGTACACGTTGACCTTCCTGGGAAATAAAAACTAAAATATTGTAATTTATAACAAAGCTCGTTCAAATATATTAAGATGTAAATATTATTAAAATTAATTGCAATTGGGAAGTCGCAGAATCTGAATCAAATGTTTTTACATCGAATATTTTTTTTTAAAAATGCCGTATTTGTTAACTACAGCCTGTGAGTTTGAATGGCGTTGACGTGGGTGTGCACATCAACAGCGAGGGTGTAACAACAGTGGGTACCGTTTGTGTGGAGGCTCAAAATTAGCGAGGGGGGAACATAGAATTTGATATTTTTTCCATTCCTTTTTCCCGATAATTTTTTTCCTTTACCTTTATTGAATTGGCTAAAAATGACGCACAGTGATCTGCATTCTGTTGTCTTTTTAGATATAGCTAAAAATTATTTTCTCACGCTTGATAGGACCTCAGTTTTAACTGACGCCAAGGGCGCCAGTTGTCCCCGTCACGCCCCTGCATATCAAACCACAACTCTGTCACATATTTCTCATTCCTTGCACACCCCCCACCCCCCAACAAGTCATATCAAATCACAACTCTGTCACGGATCTCTCATTCCTTGCACACCCCCCCCTCCCCCTTTCCGAGTCCTATCAAAAGTTCTCTAATAATCGATATAAAAATTTAGGAGTCCCCAAAGCAGGGACGCCATTTGGACCCCCCCCTCCCCCTTTCCGAGTCCTATCAAAAGTTCTCTAATAATCGATATAAAAATTTAGGAGTCCCCAAAGCAGGGACGCCATTTGGGTAGGGCAGGGTATTTGCTCCCCCCCCCCCGAATTTGCAGGTTTTATTTAAATTGCTACATACAGTGGCGCCTCCAGTAATAACAAACATGTTAACAAGCCGACCAAGTTTTGGTTTCGCACCCCCCCCCCTTTCCTTTGAAAAAAAGACCCGAAATGACGCCCCTATCCCAAAGCTTTGATCGGATATTTTCTATTCTGCCTGCGTCTAATAAATAGATTTAATGTAAATAAATCTCATGTATTATTGTGATTAGTATATAAGTATAGACGTAACTTAATAAAACACTAACACACCCTAATGTTCTCTTCCATTTCAGATTAGCAATCCCGTAAGTAATAAAGAAAATACTTCTTCTTTTTTTTTAATGACTGTCAAAATCATGTTAAATGTGTTCATAATTTTTTAACGTTGAATAAATATCTGCTGCAATAAGAACGAAAACAAAAAATAAAACCCCACTGGAATCGGAGTTTGAGCTGGGTGGCTTGTTACAGTTTCGTAAACGTCCTGTCTACGTTTAACTGAATACATTGCATTCCCTAAATCGAAAATGGCACATCTTCTTCATAACCAAGAGGCCCCCGTGGCATCTGTCATAGTTATATAAGTAAATGGTCTAATAATGCAATTCATTGATACTGCAATTTCGCTGTCATACACACGTGAAATCGCTATTTAAAAATACTTACAATTGTATAAAGTGATGTGAATGTCATTATATTGTGCCAGACTTGTGGGACAAATTTTGTTATATTTGGATGATTAGCTAAAAAAAGACAGTACAGGAATCTTTCCTTCCATTGATGGTTTGGAGTCGAAGAGGAGTCCGTAGAATCGATACATTATCTGTATGGTGCGATTTAAATTACTGACTTCTGCTGACAATTCATTTACCACTGTCATTTTTAAAATACCTTTCAACAGCCTGTCCCAGGAGAGACCCCTATTCATTTACCATTGTCATTTTTTAAAATCCCTTTCAATAGCCTGTCCCAATTGTGACACCAATTCATTTACCATTGTCATTTAAAAAAATCCCTTTCAACAGAAACCCCAATTCATTTACAAATAGCATTTTTAAAATCTCTTTCAACAGTCTGTCCCAGTTGTGACACCAATTCAAGGGGGACTAGTTCCTGGCAGGACAATCGTCATAAATGGAGTGCCTCGCCATGGAGCCTCCAGGTATTTCTTAGCTCTGACGGTCTTATATATCATACCTACATACTTACCTTACCCCAACCCAACCACTCAGCGGCGTAGATAGGGACATTCCAACCCGGGTTGGGCAAAACATTTTGCCACTCCCCCTTAACAAAAGAAATCTATAAGTTGGCAGCAAATTCCACCCTTCAATGTCAAGATACAAGTGCTCCCCGGGGTGGACCGTCTATGATCTATGAGACTTCCTACGCCACTGCATCCATATATACACACACTCTCTCTCTCTCCTCTATTTTTCTCAATCTCTCTTTCTCATTGACTTTGTTTGTACACGAATTTTAAAATAAGACATACGTCTCTGATTTTTTTTTTTCCTTCTGCCCTTCCATCCCTAACAGTGTTTCTTTGATTTGCTGTTACATTTTTATATTATTAGGGTTTTCCATTTCTAAGATCGGAAAACGTCACATCGCTTACGTAATGTTACTATTTTTTTCATACTTTTTTGGTTGTTTTTTTTGGTTTTGTTGAAGCATAGCTTCTAACAATGTATTTCCGCATATGTACAGCAGTAACAATTTGTATAATATTTAATAAAATAAAGTTGTGAACACGTATTCGTCTAGGTTAAGGCTCACTTTAACGTAGAGGTACAGAACAGTTGATAAGTGATTGGCCAAACGGAATACCAGGATGTTTTATTAATATCTTAATGAGATTTGAGGTGGGTAACGCGCTGTATAAGACCACTGTCATCAAGTCTCTCATTTTTTAAGAAAAAACAAACATTTCAAAAGTAAATATGTAGCCACTTTAAGGTGTCTTCAGATGGATTTAATTCAGTAAAATTTAAACATTTTAAATGTAGTGCAAGAAAATATTGACAATTCTACTCCTGCGGGGCTATCGCTAGAAAGTTTTAGGTTGGGTGAAAAATTGGCAATTATCGCCCTCTAGAATATTATGGGAAGAGTTCAGAATTTAAAAAAAAAAAAAATTATTTTAACAAATTGTGCGTGATGATCACGCATCGTACCCGCCTTGAGTCGGCCCTGTACTCCTGATTAAATACACAACTAGAGCCAGGCGCCAAATCTACCCCCCCCCCACCTTTTTTTTTGGTGCCAGAAAGTTTAAGTGCTCCGTTGCACTGAACGTTTTCCTGACATGCTCTACCCTGTGTGTTACAGATTCAATGTCAACCTGGTGTGCGGACCAAGTTTCGACGCCAACGACGTGGCCCTTCACTTTGACGCCCGCTTCAACTACGGCAACTCCCACCACACGGTGGTCCGCACCCACAAGGCTGGGGGTGCGTGGGGAGGGGAGGAGACGCACAGCCCTTACTTCCCCTTCAGTCACAATGTCCCCTTTGAGATCCTCATTCTCGTGGAGCACCATGGCTACAAGGTGAGAACCCACGGGCTCCATATATAACAGGATGGTGTGTTCTTAGCCCAGGGGTGCCCGCACCCCCTGGTTTTGCGTGAGGCATTGCCAGGGGGTGCGGGAAGACCCATAAATCAGGGTTATTTGCTTTTGATATCAGCCAATGTTCTTGGGGTAAAATTTGTTTGCGCATTAATTGTACTAGTTAATTTTTTTAAAAACGTTTCTAGCAAATTGAAAAAGTAGGTCAATGTCACATGACACAAAACTTGATTATGGCTAATGATTTCTTGACCCAAAGTATGCTTGTACACCAAAGGAAATAATTCTCAAACCAATCGAAAATAGTGCGGAGTTTCTGGAGGTTAAATAAGGAAAACTACCGTAAATGAATTGTTTTCATAGTTATTTATTTTATTACAATTTTAAACAAAAAGAGTGTGTCGGAGGGGATGGAAAAATTTTTTGAAATTGAGAGGGGTTGTGAGTTTGTGACACAGCAAAATAAAAGGTTTTGAAAACCTGAAAGATACGTTCTATTGTTTTTTTTCTCTCATTTAAGATATCTCCATTAAAAGAATCGGAGTCAATAATAAATCCGATTTATTCCATTCAATCGATGGGAAAATGGCCAATCCCAAGCCTTTAAAATAGTAATAAATTTGGAAAGATGAAGGTTCTAATGTTCTGCATAACGCCTCCCCCTACACCCCCCCCCCCCCCCCCCCCCCCCCCCCCCCCCCCAAATCCCAAGCCTTTAAAATAGTAATAAATTTGGAAAGAGGAAGGTTCTAATGTTCTGCATAACGCCCCCCCCTACCCCCCCCCCCCCCGCCACTCATCCTCACTCTGATATCCATTACTAAAGCCGACCACTGTTGCAATGCAGGCCCAATAAACTTTCAGCGCACCGAGCTCAACATTTTAAAATTCTGTTTCAGATCGCGGTCAACAACCAACACTTTGTGGAGTTCAACCACCGCATCCAGCCCCTTCACCGCGTCAATTTTCTCAACATCCAAGGGGATGTAACTGTCAACAGCATCAAGATCTTCTAAAAAACAAAAGGTTATCGAGTTCAATGTTCTTCAAAGCCATTGGTCAGAGGCAAGGCTTCATAGTGAAACACACCGAGTGTTCAGTTCTGTTTTGTTGTGGTATTAAAAACTAAACATTTATCACTGTCAGCGTGAGAAGTTCATGTTCTTTTAGCTTATTGTTAGAACTAATTGTAAAATAAATCATCATTGTTTTGTCATACATTGTGAGTTGTTTCCTCTCAATGACCCCCCCCCCCCATCTAATCACATCTCATAAACGTAAGAAAAACAGCAAGCTGCAAGGCCGGGGC